TAAATGAAATCTTAAAAAAAAAAAATCCCAAACAGCAGGGGCTGGCACTGTGGCATAGCAGGTTAAACTGCCTGCTGCACTGCTGTCATCCCATATGGGTGCCAGTTCGAGTCCCGACTGCTCCACTTCCGATCCCGCTCTCTGCTATGGCCTGGGAGAGCAGTGGAAGATGGCCCAAGTCCTTGGGCCCCTGCACCTGTGTGAGAGATCTGGAGGAGGCTTCTGGCTCCTGGCTTCAAGTCGGCACAGCTCCAGCCATTGTGGCCATCTGAGGGAGTGAACCAGCATATGGAAGACCTCTCTCTCTCTCTCTCTGCCTCTCATTCTCTCTGTGTGTAACTCTGACTTTCAAATAAATAAACAAGTCTTTTAAAAAAATTCCAGGGCCGGCGCCGCGGCTCAATAGGCTAATCTTCCACCTGGCGGCGCCGGCACACCAGGTTCTAGTCCCGGTCGGGGCGCCGGATTCTGTCCTGGTTGTCCCTCTTCCAGGCCAGCTCTCTGCTGTGGCCAGGGAAGGCAGTGGAGGATGGCCCAGGTGCTTGGGCCCTGCACCCCATGGGAGACCAGGAGAAGCACCTGGCTCCTGCCATCGGATCAGCGCGGTGCGCCAGCCGCAGCGCGCCAGTCACAGGGGCCATTGAGGGGTAAACCAACGGCAAAGGAAGACCTTTCTCTCTGTCTCTCTCTCACTATCCACTCTGCCTGTCAAAAAAAAAAAAAAAATTGCAAACAGCAGGTCATTGCTGTTGTTCCGTCTGGTTGGGAATGGACGGGCAGCCTGGCAGTGGGCAGGCATGGTTGCAGAGTGGGGCATGTGAGACAGGATGTTTCTTGTGTGTTGTCCGTGCGGGGAGTTGCGATTGTGTGCCTGTGCCTGTGTTTGTGCTCACAGGTGAGTGTACAGAGATGCAGGGTACGTGTGGGTGCAAAGGTGACGTCACTCCTACGGCGTCTCGTGAAGGCGCATGTCTGGAGTGGTCTTGCCTCTCTGGCTTTGGCGTGCTGCATCTGGAATGCTGAGAGCCCCTCTCTCATCCCTGGGGCCGCTGTCTGACAGGTGACTCCCTCTAAAATGAGCCTCAGTTTCTGTCTGATGGGGATGGTGGGCCCAGCGGCCAAGGAGGAAACTCAAGGGTGAAAGGGAAGGTGGGAGGAGACTGGTGAGGCCAGGGAGAGGCTGAGAAATGTGATGGTGACGATGGCAGGGTGGGGACAGAGGCAGAGCTGCACAGAGGCACGTGCACATTTGTCCACCGGTCCCATAAGCATTTGCTGAGCCCCCGCAAGGTGCCTGGACCTCTGCTGGCCGTCAGTTCATGGTCTGGGGTGTCCAGATAGATGAAGACCCACGAGGAAGGCTGCTGTTGTCCCGGGCGCCTGCCTGTCTCCATCATGGGCCTTAGAGACAGTCCTGAGCGCTGGAGACACGGAGAAGGCGAGGAAGGGAGAGGTCCTGCCCCGGCCCGGTTCTTCCTGAGGCCTTAGGTGTCCAGATCAAAGTACGAGGCCGTGAGGGGAAGGGCCCTCCCTGGCCGGGAAACCCCCGTGAATCATTTTCTAATCATTGCCTCGTCGGAAAATGACACTTCTGCCCCTTCCTAATCACTATTTTTGACCCCAACCAGACCCAACGCCCACAGCAAGAAGGGTTGGACATGCTGGTGTCACGGTGCCAGGGGAGGCGATAGCTGGGAGTCCCCAGGCTCCTCCCCTACACCCGGGCATCCCGGCTCCCAGCCCCTCTCCTCCCTCTCAGGGCCTGTCTTTGTCTCTTTGTCCATCTCATCTGTGTTTTCCATCTCTCCCGTCTCTTTATATCTGCATCTTGCTCCTCCCTCACTGGGCCTCAATTTTTTCACTTGTAAAACGGGGATAATCATAAGAACCCGATCCCTTAGAGCTATGGTGAGGGAGATGTGAGATAATTACGTAAGGTGCTCGGCGCAGAGCCTGGCCACGGGAGACTCAGTACAAGACAGCGTGCTGGTGTTGTTATTATGATTATCTCTACATCAGTATCTGTGTTTCCCTGAGAGTCTCCGGGCCCCTCCTACTCTGGGTTCCTTTAGCAGACAGCACTCTGACCCTGACTGCCCTCATAGGGATGTGGAAGGGCCAGTTGGGGCCAGAGCTTCCCTAAGCCTCTGCCCTGTTCATCTTCAGGTCGGCTCCACCTTGGAACATTGCCCCTGGGGGGCAGAGCCTGGCTTGCTCGCATTCCACAAATAACCTCATAAAAATCTGAATTCCAAGTCTGTCATCGCTGGGCAGGCCGGGGACTGTGAGGACCGGGGGGTCCCACGCCCCTCCTCCCTCAGACTCAGAAGTCGGGACCTTCAACCCCTGCGTCCTGGGTCCTCAGTACCCCCTTTCCCCGCTTCAGCATTAGGGGCTCTGATTCCCAAGCCCCCACGGACCCGGCGTGGGTGTTGTGGTACAGCGGGCTGCTTCCCATGTCAGAGTGCCAGGTCTGGCTATTCCGCGCTCCGCTCCAGCTTCCAGCCAGTGCGTCTGGGCACCTGCCACCCCCGTGGGAGACACGGATGGAATTCTTGGCTTCTGGTCTGGGTCGGACCCAGCCCTGGCTGTTGCAGCCATTTGCGAAGTGAACCAGCCGAAGGAAGACCGATCTCTCAACTCTGTATCTGTTGCTCTTTCAAATAAATAAATATAATAAATAAATAAAGACCCGTGGATCAGGCCAGCAAATAGCCCAGATAGGTGCCATCCAGAAACTCCATTCATGGCCATTCTGCCAGACTAAACCGCTCCCTTCGGTCTCTACAGAGGCGGGCCCTAATCGCTATCGTTGCTGTGATAAGGTACCCTTGACGTCAGTCACTATCAGCCAGCCAATAGACACTCCGCGTCCCACCTCCCTGGGCCACTCAGAGGTGCTCTCTCTAGTAGGCGGGACCCACAGCCAAGACGGACAGTCATAGGCTGTCGCAGACGCCAGTCTCCGCCAATCCGCGCGGGTCCGCCAATAGACCGGGAATCTGCGCGTTCCGGTCGGGTCCGCTCCGAGGCGAGCCTGTTCGGCAAGTCCGGCGGCATAGGCGCTTTCCAGCACGCCCAGTATTGGAATTCTGGACACAGTTCGGACGGGAAGCGGTGAGGCTTGGTGAGGCTTGCGGCGGAGGGGGGAACTCTACCAGGGCGAGCCCATTTTTTTTTTTTTTTCTGTGATAAACAGCCCGGGATATTCTGCCATCGTGTCCGTCCACCCATTCCCCGGCCCGCTGCCTGTCCTGCTCATCTATGCGTTCAGCCCTTCCTGCCCTCAGTTTCCCTCCGGCAGCCGCTCACTCACCGCTCGCTCGCACTCACCCACTCATTACTTAAACATTTCCTGGGGCTTCTGCTGTGTGTAGCCTCTTGCGGGGCGGTGGTGGCGACCAGGGTGAGTCAGGCCTGGGCTCTGCCCTCGGGGAGCCCGAGTCAGAGGGCAGGACAGACGCTGATGGGCAGGAGGGTGCAGGGGAGCCCAGGAGAGTCTCTTCTGGGTTTGGCGTGGTCAGGCAAGGGTTTCCAGAGGCGGAGCAGGAGCCAAGGCAAGGGTGGAGAAGAGGGCGTGGGGAGAGCGTCTGCAGGGCCAGTGCTGGAGTTGGACCTGGGGGAGATGAGGCTGCGTAGTGGGGAGCCATGGAAGGGTTTGGAGCAGGGGAGGACCAGGTCAGAGCTGGGAGGAGAGCGACTGGACAGGGCCCAGGCGGTGGCTGTGGCAGGGACCCAGGCAGGAGAGGATGGAGCCTGGGCCAGGGCAGAGGCTGAGGGGATGGGGCAGAGATCCGGGAGGAACAGGGAACAGGATATGGGGTGAGGGGCTGTGCAGGAGAAGCTCCAGAAGCTCAGGGGACAGGAAAGAGGAGCGGGTTGGTGGGTGGTGACAGCAACGGGCAAGAGGGTCTAGGAGGCACATGTGGTGGCTGTGGCTGGCCAGTGGGTCTGGGCCTGCAGGGGGCGCCGGGCTACTGCTTCCTCCCCACCAGTGGGTCTGGGCCTGCAGGGGGCGCTGGGCTGCGCCTCCCTCCCCACCAGTGGGTCTGAGCCTGCAGGGGGCGCCGGGCTACTGCTTCCTCCCCACCAGTGGGTCTAGGCCTGCAGGGGGCGCCGGGCTACTGCTTCCTCCCCACCAGTGGGTCTGGGCCTGCAGGGGGCGCTGGACTGTGGCTACCTCCCCACCACTTGCTTGCTGGGTGCACGAAGGAGGGCTCGCAGGTGAGGGGCCCCTGCGTCCCATCGCTCAGGAAACTGTTGGTTCCCGTCTGTGTCTCCCACCCTCACAGAACACCCCCCTGCGTCAGGCGCCCTCACTTTGCGCCTGATCCTCTGAGCAGGCAGAGGCCTTGGTCACTGCTCACTGGGGCTCCCAACCTGGCATGATTGTTCTGCCCTGCAAACTTGTACTCACCCTTTAAGGTCAAACTCTGCAGCCCTCCCTGCTACAAGGCCTGGAACTCCTGGGGGGCTGTGACCGCCTGGTCTGTGCCACCCCTTGCAGAATCAGGATCAGAAGCCCCCTGAGGTAGGCCTTGGGTGTGCAGCATCTCCATTGCAACCCCAGAGCCTACAAGTGGCGAGGCCTCCCGAGAGCCGGCTGTGGGGACTGTCACAGCTGGGCGGAGCTTGCCCTTGCAGTACCCTGGGTGTCCAGGTGGCTTCTGGTTTCCTGGGAACTTGGCTCTAGGTCCGTAGCCCTTGGGTCTGTTGGGGCCTTTCGGGTCCCCTGGTGGCTGTGGAGGCTGGGGTTGTAAAGACAAGTGGCCTGCTGGCACCAGGGAGGGCAGCGCCTACCCGGGGGCGTCAGTGGGGAAGGGCGGAGAACCCAGGGTCCTTGGCACTGCACCTGGACCTGGATTAACTCCGCGGGGGGTGGAGGACGGCTGGTCTGAGTGTCCACTTCCCTGCCCTGCTCCAGTTTTTGGCTGGGAGCAGCTTGAGTCCGATGCTGCCCCCTGGTGGGCGAGCACTCACCCATTTGAGAGAGGCCAAGCTAATTAAATACTTTTATTTACAACGGAAAGCGACCTGCGCAGGTCGCGGCAGCAGCAGTAGAAGGCAGTAGTGGAGTGCAGGTCCGGCTGCCTGGGTGGCGGGCGTGTGCGTCCTCCTCCCCTAGGCCGGGGTCTCAGCTTTCGGTCCCCCTGCTCCCCCTTTGCGGTCCCAGACTTTAAGGCATAGCCCGCCCCTCCCGACGGCCCCGGAGCCCCTCTCGAGGCCTCCCCGGGGCCGGTCCCGGAGCGCATTCACCACGGAGGCCGGCGCGGGTGGAACAATGTCTTTAGTGCGGCCCCCCGCAGCCCCCACCTCCTCCCCGCGTGGCTCAGAGCGGCGGCGGCGGCGCGGCGGGCGCGGGGTGGGTGAGCACGAGGCGGATGCGCTCCACGCACAGCTCGGTGGCCTCGCGGGTCTCGCGGCACAGCGCGGCCAGGCTCAGGAAGCCGTGGGGCAGGTCCTCCACCACGCGCAGCGTCACCGGCTGGCCCAGGCAGCGCAGCCGCCGCGCGAACATGACCGAGTCGTCCAGCATGGGGTCCAGCGCGCAGGCCTGCGGGCGGGGCGGGGTGAGGGTGGGGAAGGGGACGGATGAACGAAGAGGGGCGAGAAGGGAGGGAACAGGTGCAGGTGTGAGAAGGAAGAGTTGACCTGGGCGCCCTGGCCTCTGCCCAGCATCTCCCTACCAGCTCCCCCAGCCCCCACCTCTGCTCCTTGACTTACTAAGCCCAGCTCCCCCACCCGGACCTGGTGCGCCTCAGCCGCTGTAGCACAGGGAAAGAAACTCCCGCCCCCCCACCCACCCTGCGGCCGCTCCCAGGCCGGTCTCCCCCGGGCCCCACCTCTTCTCCAGCTGCACCCCCGCCCACGCCTGGCAGGTGCACGGTCCCTGTCCCGTGCTCACCACAATGTGCACGGGTGGCAGGGTCTTCAGCATGTTGTCGGGTGCCAGCAGCGGGGACATGAAGGGGTTCTTGACGATGGGCGAGGAGAACAAGGGCATGTGGGTGGCCCCCTGGCTGGAGATGCGCGGGTGGAAGCCCTCAGGGAAGGCGGCCCTGACGCCCTGGCCTCTGTCCTTGGCGCCGCGCTCCTCCCTGGCCTCCGCCTCTTCGACACTGTCCTCAGGCCGCAAGAAGAAGTTGACGTCGGAGGCCGAGGAGGGGCCCAGTGTCTCGGCCGACAGTGACATCTCGGGGGTGTCGGTGGCCTCGGAGCTGCCCTTCACGCTCAGGTCCTTCAGTGTCAGGCTCTTGAGGGAGTCTGTGCCCAGTGGGCCCTCGGGCTGGGCCAGCGCTGCTTCGGACACACTGCGGCGCATTGGCTCTGCGGGAGGGGCAGGGGCAGGGGGCTGGATGGGGCTCAGGTGAGCCTGGCTCTGCTGGGCACGGGGGTGGCTGGCGGGGAGTTCAGAAGGTGGGGCTGTGTCCCAGTGGAGGGTGTGTGTGTGCCGTGACTGGGAGGGTGGAATGCGAGTTGGTTTACCTATAGGAACCTTCATTTCTTCCTCCTTACAAGGCAGATAAAAACAGTCCCTGGCTCACACAGGCTGTAAGAACTCTGGGATTAGATACCGCTACCCCCTGATCCAGCTACCCCCTGATCCAGCCGCCTCCCCAGCCCCAGCCCCGCAGCAGACCCAGCCTTGAGGTGATTCGCAGGCCCAGGAGGCTCCACAGCCCCCCGCTGGGAGAGTCCCCGGGGGTCCATTAGATTCCCAGGGACCCTGTCGCTGTGGCCGCCTGGATCTGCTCCCAGACGTTCGCGTTCTGCGTTTCTAGCTCTTCCCTGCGGGTGACCACAAGCAGTGCCCGAATGATGAGCTTCCAGCCCACCTTGGCCTCAGCTCTAGAAATTTAGTCAGACCCACGCTGCTTACCACTGGGGCCAGGCTCCTATAATACTTTCAGGTTTTTTTTTTTTTTCCACTTGTCTTTGTAAATGCATAAAGGCAAAAGTCCAGACACTGTGAGAATAACTGTGTAAAGTGCTCTGTGACCCAGAGGGCCCCTGAACAGAATTACTGGCACAGGACACAGCATCTTTTAAGAGTGCCTACTATGTACCAGGTGTTGGGCTGGGCCCTTGACACAAATAGGTGCGTGTGGTCCTTACAACAACCCAACGAGGCAGATACTCTTATTGTACCCATTTCGCAGAGGAGCACACCAAAGGTCACAACTACTGCTACTTGGCCATGTCGCTCCATGGCCAGTAACTGGCGGAGTGAGAAGCCAGTGTGGTGAGTGTGCCTCCAGGGGCTGCACCTGTCACCGTGATCCCACAGGGAAAAGCCCAGTGCCCAGGGCCCAGTGCTTCAAATTCAGCTCCTTTTTAATTGATTTTGTGTGCCTCTGCTTGCAGATCCTAAAATTAGAAAGTTAATTTAAAATAAAAGGCATTCAATTGGGAGAATTTTCTGAACAGGAACTGCATCGACTTCTGAAAAGGCGATTTCTAGTATTCACAGAATGCCCTTGGTGTTTGGTAGACACAGAAATAAGTTTTGAACTGGTTGTGCTTTAAATTCCTTAATAACGTTACCTCGGGAAGAACTGGATCCTGGAGGGACGTGGTGTTTAGCTGCCCGAGGGTCCTGCCACTGAGCCGAGGCTGAGAACCCCCTGCGCTCCCGCGGTCTGTCCCATGTTGGATCTCTCATCCTGGCTCCCAGGCCACCCCCCACCCCAGGGCGGGGGTATGGTGGGAGGTGGGGGACGACACATTAGCCCTAAGTGCCTGTCACCTGTTTGTGGAACTGAGGAGGGCTGCACCCCTGCCCGAGGGCTCTGGGAACTTGGGGTGGAGTCTCAGGAGAGAGAGTGGAGACACTGGCAGGCACTGAATGTTTCCCAGGGCTCAGGCCTGTGTGAATGAGGCCGTTGAGAAATCCAGCTACTGCAAGTGCTGGGGCCCAGAGGTGACCTGGGGCATCAGAATTCCTGGCTTTCCCACCTGTGGAATCCCACCTGTCATGGAAAATCTAGGCTTTGCGGCAGGGCCAGAAGTGGGTATGGGGCACTGGCCGGACCCTGGGATGTGGCTCCTTCCCTGCACCGGGCTGTCCCTCCTGGCTGCCCTGGCTTGGCTATGTGTAAGGAGGCTGTCACTTACCTGACATTGGTGCTGAGCTCTTGGCTTTGCGTCCGCTCAGCTCCAGGAAGGAGTTGAGCCACGAGGAGGCGCCCAGGCGGAGGTCTTTGAGGAGCAGGGCTGTGTCCCGCCGCATGAGCCCCATCATGCCCAGCGCCTTCTGGTCTGAGTTGGAGTGGTCTTCTGTCTGTGCACCTGCAGAGTGTGTGTGCCGGGGCCGGGCTGGTCTTAACACTCAGCATTTTGGGCACCTGTGCCCCAGGGATCTGACTGCCTCGGAAGGAACATGGCCAGGAAGGAGTACCAGGTTCCTCTGCCGAGCCCCAGCTTCCTTAGTGCCGGGAGTCCAGGGCCCCAGCCCCCTCCTCCCTCAGACCCAGGGGTCTGGGCCCCAGCCCAGGGCCCCTAGGCAGCGTGGGCCTCACCTGCGTAGGCGCTGACACACTTGGAGAGCACGCTGAGCGGCAGCAGGGGGTCCATGAGGCTCAGCAGCCGGGAGGGAGAGGCGGCCGACTGCAGCAGTGTGGCCGGGTAGGCTGCCATGATGCCATCTGGCACCCGCACGCCATAGGCTGCAGCCCGAAGGGACACGGTGAAGCAGAGGTTGCCGCCGGCGCTGTCTCCCGCAAGGCAAATCCGCTCTCCTGTTGAGCCTGGTTTGGAGTCGGGGGTTGGGGGTGGGGGCTTGGTCACAGCCTGGTGGGGGGTGGGTACTGGGGAGGGAGGAACTCAAGTTCTGAGCTAGAACTGGGCTCTCAGAGGTGGTGTGTGGGGCTCCCCAAAGTTTAGAAGGCTGCAATTTAGAGACTGGTAAACTGAGGCAGGGATCTGGACCCATTTGGTGGACAGTAGTCAGTGGGTCAGGAAGACTTGGGACATGGAGAGACCCAGAGATCAGGGAGTTCTGGGGGAGTCTGGGGAGTGGAAGGTCAGGGTGCAGGCTGGCAGCGTAGCCCCAGGCAGGCCGGAGCCTGCTCAGTGCCTCGGTGCACTTCCAAGATGGTGGCATTTCAGGAGGGGGGCTCAGAGTTGTTGGCGCATGGGCCAGGAGGCTGACAGGGCAGGGAGCAGAGGCCAGCAGAGGGCCGGGAATGGACGGCAGCAGAGGAAAAGGTAAAGAAGGCGGAGGCAGGGGAGCCAGTGGTGGACTTGACGGGAGCGGGGTGAGCAGGTGGCCGGAGGGGGGAGGCAGGGGTGAGGATGGGGCCCGTGTATGAGGAGGAGGCTTGAGGAACCACGTGCGCGGGTCACTGCCCCTGCAGTTCTGGGCGGGGGCTCACCAAGGAGGGCGCAGTGCTTGACGGCCCAGCAGTAGGCGTAGAAGCACTCCTCCAGCGCGCGCGGGAAGGGGGCCTCGGGGGCCAGGGAGTAGTCAATGGAGAGGATGGGGACGCCCAGCTCTTGGGCCCAGCTCTTGAGGTAGGGCTCGTGGGATTTGGAGGTCTGGGCCACGAAGCCGCCGCCGTGGATATGCACCACCAGCGACCGGGAGCGGGGTGCCTGCTGGCCGCGGGGCCGCAGCTCCAGGCTCCGCGGGCCCTCGGACTTGGCCAGGATGTTGAGTTCCTCGCTGTCCTGCAGAGAAGGAAGAAGGAGGCTGGGGAGGGCCTGCCTGGGTCCCACCGTCCCAAGGGATGTGGCTCAGCGAGGCAGGGAGGGCTTCTGGGGCAGGTGTGGGGAGGGGCGCCCGTGCTCTCTGGCTCTGCACCTGTTCCCAGCTGAGGCCAGGGCCTTACCTGTCCTTCACGCAGGTCGTAGGAGATGAGCCTGACGAGGACGGGCCCAGGGCCCGTGTGGGCCAAGGGTGGCGAGATGGTGACTGTGAGCTTGGGGTCGGAGGTCAGCGGCATGTTAAAGGCCTCGGGCGGCAGGCTGATCAGTCGGCTCACCCTCACGTTAGCCGACGTCATGTTGGCCAGAGACTGGGAGAAGGAACAGAAGGGGTGCTGGGGAGGGGCTGCCTGCCCTCTGGCCCCCAGCGTTCCCCTCCTGTGCCATCCCGGGGCCCTGGGGTGCCCATGTGCGACAGGCTCACCGAGAGTACTTCAATCTCCGTGATGTTCCAGAAGGCTTTCCAGAAGTGCACGTCCAGGTTCTGTATGATCCGCTCAAACTCGGCCCCACGCAGCTCTGGGTCGATGGCGAAGCGGCCGCTGGTGAAGAGGGAGCTGGCGGTCACACCTGGGGGTCGGGAGGGGCGTCAGGCTGCTCAGGCCGGGGTGGGGGGGGGGGCAGGGACAGGAGGGGGCGGCGAGCAGAGCCTGGCTGGCTGGCACTCACTGAGACCCGTCTCGTTGCGCTTGTAGTGCTCCCCGAAGGACACCAGCCCGATGGAGATGGTCTGCAGGAAGGGCCGGATGGCGGGCGTGAACTGTGGAGAGACAGGCGGGGGTGAGGGGCAGTAGACATTTCCCGAGCTCCTGCTGCGCGCCAGGCGCACGCCACCTGACAAGCACATGGAGACATGATGATAAATGACTGCATGAATGACGTGAGGGAAAAGACAAAGACCACAGGCCGAGGGGACACGGAGATGCTGAGGGGTTAGAGGGCACAGCAAGTGCAGGAGCTCAGGGCTGGGCCCGTGCTCGGCAGGGGGAGCCAAAGCCAGGGGGCCAGAGTGGGCAGGAGCTGGGGTCAGAGACGAGAAGGGGCCCAGCCAGGGCTTAGGCGGAGCAGTGAGATGACGCAGGGGTGTCCTGACAGACGGGGCAGGTGGGAGGGGGAAACAGCGACAGCCTGACGGGTACAGGGATCTTGGTGCAGGAAGTGCCGGGTGGGGAGACTGAGGCCCACACTCAGGGCTCTGTGGAGGAATGCGGAGATACCACATCTGAGGGGGTGGTGCTGAGACGGCGCCACCGGAAACAAAGCCAGGAGAGGCCGAAGCAAGAGGCCACCGAGGTTCCTCTGTGCACTCCGCACACGCCGGCCACTGGGCTGGAGCAGGGACGCAGCAGGGCCGTGACGGCTGGGCCCGCACACAGTGGCTGTCAGGTGGCCCTGCTCCTGGCTGCCGGCCCACTGGGCCAGAGAGCGCGGGGTTTCTGGCTGTTGTGGTCAGGAGGCAGGTTTAGGCGGTTCCAGGATCTCTTTCCCGTGATTTCCATACCCTGGCCAGTACTTGTGAATCTGGCCTGGGGAGGGGAGGCTCCCAGGCTGGGGTGCTGAGGACAGCTGAGGCCTGTAGGCAGGGGTGGACGGGGCACGGGGCAGAAGGTCTCTGACTGCCCAGCTTGGCTATCACTGCGGTGGGGGGTGGTCCAAAGAGGTTCAGAGTGGCTCAGGGGTCACACAGCTCCAGATGCTCCTGCTAAGGCTCCCTGGTGCAGCTGGGGCCTGGGGGACCCGGCACTGACCCCACAACAGGGGCACGCTGGGCCTCCACCCTGAGCCTGGCCGTCCCAGTGTGCTCCTATTTTTACCCAAGTCTGAGAGCCGTGGGGCTGCCTGACTCCGTGTGTGATGAGCTATGTTTCTCCGAGGCTGGTCTGGGTTGGGGCGGGCAGAGGGTAGAAGGCGAGATCAGGGAGGGGAGCAGCAGTCAGGTCTCTGGCACCGGCACTGACGCTCGGCGGCTCTCCCCAGGCCTGAAAACCCTGCCTCTGAGCTCCCTGAGTGAGCAGGGAAGCCCTGGGTCCCGATCCAGGTCCGCAGCGGAGGGCTGGCCCCCTCCCTCCTACAGCTCCAGTGGGGATACCTCCAGGGGGTGCACTCATTTCCAGTAGGCCTCTCGACTAACTCCAGGGGCCATCAGGTAACAGAAGTGAAGGGCTGGTGTTGTGTTGCGGCAGGTTCAGCCGTCACAGCACTGGCATTCTCCGTGTCAGAGCACCGGTTCAAGTCCCTGTGCACTGCTTCTGATCCCGTTCCCTGCTCATGCGCCTGGGGTGACAGAGAAGATGGCCCGAGTGCTGGATCCTGGCTTTGGCCTGGCCCAGCCCTGGCCATTGTGGGAATGACCCAGCAAATGAAAGATTGCTTTCTCTGTCTTTCTGCCTTCCAAATAACTAAATAATTAAAAAAATAAAAAATTAAAAAACAAAACCCAGAGTGGACAAATTCCCTGACTGTAAGACAGTAAACAGTAGTGGGTATCCAGGTGAAAAAGAGCTGTGTGAGTTCAAGAGTTCCCACTATTTGATAGATGTGGCCCAGGGCCATGAGTGTGAGATACTGGGTGCAGCTTTGAGCTCCAGCCGACTTCCCCTTTCTCTCTTTTCTGAATTCAACAATACTGAGCATTGTGGCTACTCTACTATTGAGCCAGGTCGGGGGCCATCAGTGCCTTCACCGTGGGCCCAGTGGGGCATGGGTAGGGGGGACTCACTTGGAAGCCCAGGCAGCGGCCGTAGAAGCAGCCCTTGTGCAGCGTCACATACTCCCTCAGGAAATCAGCAGTCAGCCTCTCGTCACCCTCAAAGAAGAGCCCTCCTGGCCGGTTGGTGGCCAGCAGGCGCTGGGCGTAGTAGGCCAGAGCGCGGAGCTGGGTGAGGGCAGCCAGGTAGGCCTCCAGCTCAGCCAGATTGTGGCTGGTGCGGAAGAAGATGCTGCGGCGGTTGGAAGCCACGTAGCGGGATTTGTGTAGCAGGTGCGCCAGGCAGCAGCGGGCTGTGTGCACCAGGCTGCGGAACCCATTGGCTGGTGTCTCTGCGTCCAGGTCAAAGAGGTGCGCCACGCCGAGCAGGCGGCCCAGGGCCGGCTCCAGCCCCAGTGCCTGTTCCCGCACACCGGCAAAGACGCTGGACAGGCGTCGTGCTGTCTCCCCAGGGCCCTGGCTGGAGAAGAATGCCATATTGTCTTCTGCCAGGGTCACCAGCGACTGGGTCATCGTGCGCAGGTCCATGCTGTGTACAAGCCTTGAGGCTGTGGGCAGGTGGGGAGGTCTGTTAGGCAGGGCAGGATCGTCCTTACCAGCTGGGGCCCAGGAGTCCAGGCCCCCAGCTCTTCCCTCCCTCAGACACAGGAGTTCAAGCCCCAGCCCCTCCCCTCTCAGACCCAGGAGTCCAGGCCCCCAGCTCTTCCCTCCCTCAGACCCAGGAGTCCCTGCTGTCTCCTGTTTGGGACTCAGGACCCCGTTGTCCCTGGACCCAGGAGTCCAGACATGCCAGCGAGCCCACAAGAATCTGCTTGCCCAGCTCCTGCGTCTTTCCCGTGGCCCCGGAGTTGGCCAGCACTTCCTTCTCCCAGGGTTCAGGCGCCTGTCTCTGCTTATTCTCCCGGCTCAGGACATCTCCTAGGATCTAAGAAGTCTGGATGCCCTGCTGGTCACTCGTCTCAGGACCTAGGGGGTCCAGGCCCCCAACCCATCCTTTCTCCGCAGGCCCCAGGTGTCATCCATTTGCCTTTCCTGTTCAGGCCCAACCTACCCAGTCTAAACCCTAGGACCCTGGTGCCCAACCCCAGCTCTGCTCCTGAACCCAGGGGTTCTTCCAGGGTTCCAGCCTTCCTAAAATCCTAGTCTCTCAAGTCTGCCTGTGGAGCCCCCTCAAAACTCCAGCGCCCTTGCTGTCCTCTGTGGGGTCCTCAGACCTCGTTCTCACTCTTCTGTCAGCTGCGTCTCCTGGCCTCCGGCCCTGTCTACTCAGCCAGCAAGCAGGCCTGCCTGGAACGGTGGTACTCATCGCCGCCACTGGCCTTGAGCTCACTCCATGTCAGACCCACACTGGGGCTCTGTGCATCTGCAGTATCTAGCGCTCTAACCTTCTGTGTCCCAGATGCCGACGGTCGGATCTATTATTGCTGGCACCCCCATTTCACAGGAGAGGACACTGAGGCCCAGGGGTGTTAAGTAAGGAGCTAAGGCTGCATTGCCAGTGACAGAGCCAATTCTCTGCCCAGCTCTCTGGGTTCAGAGCTGCAGCTCACGCCAGCCTCCTTCCCAGGACTCTAGGACTTGCCCTGTCCTGTGCCGGACGCCCCACACCCCTTCCTAAGATCCTTGTCACAGGCACCCTAGATGCTGTCACTCAGGTCTCAACACTCCGCCCTTGCCCGCTTTGGTGAGGATACCACCACCATCAGCCCCAGGACTCTCTTCTCTCCCGAAGCCAGGCTCCTAGGTGCCTGGCCCCTGTTACTCTAGAAGAAAGTGTCTGTCTCCTCTCCCTTCCAGGCCCTGGGGTCCAGCAGAGGCCGTTCCTGCCTCCCAGCCGGCCCTGCACTCACCCCTCCCAGGCCTCTCCGGAGCTGGAGCTCCCCGGACTGGGACTGCTGCTTTGTGGCTGGTGCCAGTAGCAGCCTGGGGCGATAAAGCAGGGAGGGCGGCTTGCCTGGGGTGTGGCCACCGCTCCACCTCCCACCCAGAAAGGGCAGTGAGAACCACGTGCTATAAACAGAGCAGGGAGCCCAACTGCCTGTCTCCACCCCCAAGACAACTGGGAGTCCTTGTCCTAGGCTCCTGTGCCTTAGAACCCAGGGGCCCAGGGCCCCAGCCCCCTCCCCTTCGGGACCCAGGAGTCTCAGCCTGAACAAATAAACTGTCCCCTCTCACCCAGCCGGCCGCCCTCCTCCCCAGAGTGGATGCAGGGAGCCAAAGGCCCAGTGATTTCAGCTCCTGCCCTCGAGCTGGCCCTGGCACAGCAGGCCCCAGCTGCTGGGGGGAGAGAGCCAGCCCTGCCTGTCCCTCCTGGGAGCACAGAAGCCGATTAAGGGCAGTGCCAAGCTCAGCCCGGGGCCTGTCACAGGCCCTACTCGGGGTGCTCCCACACTGAGTGCCCTGTGTCTGCCCCTTCCCCTTCAAGCCCACCCCCACCTCCCAGGCTGACAGCTCACCTGAGTACCCCGCGTGTCCCCTGCACCTGGCTCTTTCTCACCCTCTCAGGGCTCCCTGGCCACGCCCCCTCTCTGAGATAGGCATCGGGGGCTCCATCACTGTCTGCCCTGATTCTGTGCTTGTGCTTCCCGGCTTCTACACACTCTGTAATTGCACGTTTGCTTGTTTACATGCAGGCTGTCTGTCTCCCTCAGGACAGAACCCCTTTATGGAGCCCAGAAGCTTCTAAACAATGGGGGAGTGGCTTTAGTGAGAAGAATACAAAATGACAGCTACAAATCCACAGGGCTCTAGGGGGAGCCGGTCCACGTGACGGACATCCATAGGGCACAATGGGAGCTGGAAGAGGACAGCCCCTTCCCCAGGGCTGGCAGACAGGTGGACAGATGGACAGAGGGATGCCGTTCTAAGCTTGGTAGAGCCGCACGCCACTGCTGAGTGGTCCTGGATGAGTGCCCCTGCCTCTGGCCACTCTGCCCAGCCAGGCGGGAGGGCACTCTGCGTGGGGCTTGCTCTGAGGGCTCCTGCAGCCTTGCTAAGATGGGGACCAGGCTGTTTCTCTCTGGGACACTTATCACCGTCGGACACACTGCACAACTGACTCCTCGTGCTGCCCGCCGCCCCCACTAGATTACAGGCTCCCTGCTGGCAGGGGCGTTTGCTGGTTTTGTTCGGCCCTTGGCCCGGCGCACAGCCGGCACTTGGGAAATGCTGACTGCCTGACGCTGCCATCTCCCACTTTGTAAACCGAGTCCCGTGAGGAGAGAGGAGCGCTCCGACCCAACAGGCCGCTTGAACAAAGCCATGGGGAAGGGGCTGGGCTCTAGGCCCGCACGACTTGAGGGCCCTGCCCTTTGTCCTGTTCTAAGCAGAGCTCCCTGAGGGCTGGGCCAGATAGAGCTGGGCAGAAGGGGTGTTGAGGTTGCCAGAAACTTGCTTAGAATCCCAGGCAGAGGGCACTGGGACAGAGGCAGGTTCACCAGGGCCATGGGTGAGGAACGGGGCAGAGGCAGGGCCAAGGCAGCTTGGGGGGTGTCCAGCTGACTGGGTATCAGCCCTTTGCCTTCAAGAGCTACAGGACAAATAGACCCAGCCTGGACTTCAGCCCCTGGGGACCTGGCAGGGGTGGGAGGGGTGGCGGGCAAAGAAGGGTGGGGGGATGGAGGAACGGTCAGGTCTGGGGCCTGGGGTGGGGAAGGGCTTCTGAAGGGGGCGCCTGGGACCCTGGGATCTGATGCAGGTGGGGACAAATGACTGTGGCTGCTCCTGAGAAGTGTGTGCAAAAAAAAAAAAAAAAAAAAGCAATGCTGTGTGCAAGCACTGCTCTCTCCATCACCCACCCCACCGCCCACTGGGTGGGCACTGCTAGCTTCCCCTTTGGGCAGGTGAGGGGACTACTGAGAAGCTCGGGTCACAGAGCCAGCCAGGGGGCAGCTCCAGGATGGCCCCGCTGGCTTCTGCTGGTGTCACCAGTATGTCCAGTGTGCCTATGTTTCTCCTGCTGTATCTGGGCCTCAGCTGTGTGCCTTCTGGGTGGTCAGGTAGGTGTGCATGTGTGTGTGTGTGTGTTCTCGGCCTGTGAGCTTCCATGGGCACATGTTGCTATATGTAGGAATATATGTATATGGGTACCTACATGTATGTCCATGTGTCCTGGTCTCCATGTGTGTATACACAACACTCCTCTCCCCATCTGCTCAAGCTGGAAGCCAGGGCATCATCCTGGCCACCTCCCCCTCTGCACACCCCCTCCCTCCCATCCAATCCACCACCCAGTCCTGTCCCAGCTGCCCCCTAGGAGCCTCTGGAACCTGGCCCTCCTCCAACTCCAGCCTCAGCTGGATGATTCTGGCTCTTTATGTGTCTGACTGTGTCCCCTCTGACATGTTGTCCACATAGCAGCAAAATCCCGTCACACGCTCTCAGCCCTTCAAAGCCCCCTGCCTTCCTCTCAGGATAAAGCCCCAAGCCCAGGACACGGCCTCCCGGAGCGGGCGCCATCCTCTTCGCTCAGGCTGCCCGACCCGGCCTCCTCTTACCACTCCTGCCTCCCTCCCTCTGCCGTCTGTGCTGCTTCCTTGGGCCTCAAGGTCTCCGCCTATGCCGTCCTCTCTGTTGTCTCTGCCCATCCTTGGGTTCAATGCCAGTGCCTTGAGGAGCCGCCCTCTGTTGCATTCTCAGGGATTTTCCTCTGTGGTTTCTATCACAGTTTACAAGTGTAGTCTTAGCGCAAGCATCCCACATCAGAGTGCCTGGGTTCGAGTCCCAGCTCTGGTCCCGATTCCAGCTTTCTGCTAATATACATCCCGGGAGGTAGCAGGTCCCTGGGTCCCCTGAGAAATCTGGATGGAGTTCCCTGCTTCTGGCTTTGACTTGGCCCAGCTCTGGCTGTTGCAGGCATCTGGGGAGTAAACCACTAGATGGGAGATGTCCTTTCTGTCTCTCTGCCTTTCAAATATATTTAAAATTTTTTTTTACAATTATAGTCTTATTTGATCAATACCCATGTCTCCAGCTCAACTGTTGAGCGCGAGCCCAGGCCCAGCACAAAGTGTCTGCAGAATGCCTGCTGAGGGGGCCTGGTCAGCAGCAGCCTTTCTGCCCTCACTGGCCAGATAAGGAAGTCCAGGTGGCCTCACGCTCTCGGCGCCTCAGTGTCATCGTCTGAGAAATGGGGTGATCCTAATGACGATATCCTCGTCCAGTTACTAGCGAGATCAAACTGATGACAGGGACTCCTCTAGCCAGCCCAGATGCCCCTGGGGCAGGGTGGGGTCTGGTTTACCTACTGAGGCCTGGCACCAGGGAGTGTCAGGAAATGACAGGCCCACCTCCAGGAGCTTGGGGGAATGAGCCTTTGGGAGTAGGTGGGTTCATAGGTTTGTGAGTAGGACTGGCTGGGCCCCGTGCAGGGAGCCCTACCCAATCAGATTCTGCCTGACTCCTCATGACAACCCTAGGGGAAGCATGGTTATTAATATCTCTGTGTTGCAGCTCACACATTCCTTCAGTTATTAATCCAGTAAATATTTGAGCGCCTATGTGCCTGATATACTAGGCTCTGACAATACAGGGTAAACAAGGCAGGCACTGGCTGTCCTGCTCTTGGGGTGGTCACCGTCAGGTGGATCACCAGTAATAAAAACCTCCACCTCTCCCCTGGGCTTGCTGTGTGCGGCAGCAAATGCCCTACACTCATCCAAACCTGGCCTCCTCCCCCACTGCACACCCTCGTCCGATCACCATCCAGTCCTGTCCCCTCTGCCACTAGGAACCCCTGCAACCTGGCCTTCCTCCCTGGTCTAGGTCTACAAATCAGGTGCCCCTCAAGCCTATTTCAGAAAATCGAGGCAAGGAAGAAGGCGCCTGTCGCACAGCACATCGTGGCTCCTGGCTCGAGGACCCGAGTCTCCGACAGCCGCGTTCTAACCGTGGCCTGTGCCGCCTCGGGGAGAGTGAGCATCCTGCTCGCCAGGCTGAGCGTGGTGCCGTGTGGCAAGGCGTGCCCTCGGGCTGCAGTCTGAGCTCTGAGCCCGTCTAAGCCTTTCTGAGCCGGTGCAACTGCAAGTGGAACCAACTCCAGTGCTACCTTTGGCTGATGATGGGGAGTAGAGAGAGGGGGATGGTGAGTATGGGATGGGGCAGTTTCTTTCCTGAATGGGAACTTCATGCAGGTCTTTCCCTAGATTCATAAATACTCATAACTGGGCAAGGACTTAACGCCTGCCCTACTTGAGGTCTGCAGCACGCCTGCTGGTCTGTCAGTCTTTGTCCAGCTTTTTGACTAATCTAGGAACCTAGGCGACAGCTCCCCCCTCTCCTCCTGAGAGACGGCGTGGTGGTCTGAAGCCAAGCAGAGCCCCCTTGTCCTGGAAGTGGTGGGGGTCAGGGTGCTAGGAACTGCAGCTGGTCCGAGCAGGTGGACTGACAGAGTGGATGAATGCCTTGGTGAGATGGGGAAGTCAGGCCTGGGATAGGCTGGGGTCGGGGGGTCCGTTGCACTCACTACAATGGGGCACCCCTTCCTCCTACTTCTCTCTGACTCACCCCTAAACTTCCGCTTTGGATAGCAGCCGGTAAACTTCTCCATGATCCTCTCAAGTGCGCTAGGGACCTGGAATCCAACAACTTCCCAGGTGGGGGAAACACTGGGGACAGCAGTTGCCCTTGGCTTGTACCCCGAGCGAGAACCCTGGGCCTGGAGGCTTGCATTGCGGACCCCACTCCCCAGACTGTCCTGCGGCGCCCGGTGGTGGGACACTCACACCACCTCCTTCCCCACGCCCCCCGCGCAGCGGCCACGGGCCAGGGCACGCGCGCCCCCGTTCTCGCAGCAGTGGGTCAGTCCACTTGTTCCCAGTTCCCTGCAGGATGTGCGGACTTCCTCCCCGGCTGCTCGCCCCCGCGCGCTCACCTTTGGCCTTGCCTCTCCGCCACAGCCGGCGACTGCGAATCCTCGACCCCTCTTTGGCCCTCTTCGAGGCCTGTGCCCCATCGGCCCCGGCGGGCCCCGTTCCCCCTGCAGACTCCATCAATTCTCGGCGCGGGCCCCGCGCGGGGGCCGATCCCAGCCGCCAGGCCCCGCCCCGAGGGCCAATCCTTACTACACACCACCGCCGGGCCCCCATGTCACCCAATCCCGGGCTCGATCCTGTCCGGGTCCCGCCCACTGAGCAATCCTGGCCTCGCTCCGCTGCCGGCTCCGCCCCCAACCCCCAGGGCAGAGGGCCTGGCCCCGCCCACGCGTTAAAGGGCCCGCGCACAGGCTAAATGCAGCCCCGGAGGCGGTGAGAAGCGCCCTTCAGGCCGGTCTAGCGTGGCGTCTTGGGGTCACTCCGACACGTGCTGTGGCTCAGTTTCGCCATCCCACTCACCTTCCCACGCAGGGATCCCCTAGAACGCGGCCTAGCCCGCCCGCCGGAGGGGGAGAGCGGGGCGCCGCCAATCCTCCTCTAGGGGGCGACGGGGCCGGGGTCGGGGTCGGGGGCCGGGGATGGAGGGGGCGGGCCGAGTGCGCCGGCACCTCAAGGCCGGGGCGGGGCGCCAGCATGGAGGCGTGGCTGTGCCTGGGCGCCTTAGGAGGAGGAAGCCCCGCCTTTCCCTCCTCCCCTGTCTCCTTGAGTACTCTCTTTCTCTGGATTCTTTAACTCCCTGCCCTTGCCCTCTTCTAGAGAACGGAAGGGAAGAAGGAAGAATTCGGGGCGCCTGCGCGCTAGCGTTTAGGCCAATGGGTGGCTGGCGCAGAGGAGCGAAGTCGTGGCAGCCGCGCGCCCAGAAAAAGGCGGGAAACAGTAGAGGCGCGAAGCTCGCGCATGCGTACAAGCCAACTGCCGCTAGGGCGTCTGAGCCCAGGGAGCCTCCTTCGCGTTCGCTCTGTGGTGCGAACATGCCATGAGACTGGGCTCTGGAAGCCTAGAGAAACAGCTCTTGGTCGTCAGTGCCGGAAAAATCAAAGCCTTGGTGCCTCCTCGCCTCCCAAAGCACACAAGCAGCTCCCTCACCGAGGCACTGATTACCCTTTATCCTCAGCTCCTAGAGAGAGAGAGAGACCACCCTGGCCGCCTCCCTGGACTGCGGCCTCAGAGTGGGGCTGCGTTGCTTCCTGCCACTCCCAGGAAACGTCAACAAGTAACCCCTCATTCCATCGCTAAAACTCGGCTTGTCCCATTCTGCACGCAGAAGTCTCGAGTTTGGAGGAGGCAGCTCAGGGCACCGCCGACTGCCCGGGAGGAGCCAGGGGAAGGGGCGGAGAAGGTGAGGGATTGCAGAGGCTAGCCCTCTGATGTCACTGCCCCACTTCCCTCGGGCCCTGACTGTGCCCGGGATGTCGTGGCCTCCGGGGTTCCCTCCAGGCTCCTGTTGTCTGAGCCCCAGGGCATTGGCCCAGTTGGCAGCCGAGACAGACCTGGGCAACCATGATGTGGTTCTCGCCTCCCGGGTTCTGCTTATATGCATGCGAACTCCCAGGGGGCAAGGTCCAACTTCAGAGCTGCCCCGGAACGGCCGCTAGATCCGTTGGCCTGAATGGGTGAATGGACACTGGGACAAGGGCAGCGCTCTGTCCCACCTCCCTGCGTGTTTCATCTCCCCCCAGTCCTTTGTAGGGATACAGCCTGGTGCGTGGGAGAGGGTCAGACCCTGGCTTCCTATCCTGCGCTTCCACTTCCTAACTGTACCTTCTTTTGCAAGACTCTTAACTTGTATCTTCAGGCCTCACCTACCAAATGGGGATGTAGATCTTTATCTCACAGGATTATCGAAGGGTGACCTGCACTAACCTATCCTACTAGGTGTTGAATGAATGAATGACTGTCCTTAGGCAGCCCTAGTTTCTCCAGATTGAAACTCACGTGTGTCCCGGTAGTGCCTGGTGCTGGTTTTCTTCCCAAAAGACGGCCCACCATGTCCCGACATCCCTTCATGACCAGATTTCTCTTTGAAGGCTGTCTTTGCTCTGTTTATCGCCGTTACGCCTCTCATGGCTACAGCATCTGTTTCTGAAGATGATCCCACATCTGATTCCGAGTCGGAATCTGTGATCCACTCTAAAAGTGTCCTCCACTCTTGAGGAGATGGCTCTGTGGATATTTCTTGCGGTGTGGTGGATGTTTCTTGCAGATTTCTGTCCTCCGTCAAAGATTCGTGCCTGGATTTGGCTCTCTGGACTGGCGTTGTTTGCTGAGCCATAGCGTCTGACTGTTGCGCTCTCTCTTGGGATGTAGATTGAATCTGGGCAGGTGGTCCTATTTTGGATGCGAGTTTAGCCTGGGCTCTAGGTTTTGATTCAGCTTCCTGTTGAGCTAGAGGGGGCTCTACTGGCCCAAGTCCTGGCCTGGCTGCTTGTCCCTCTCTCAGCACTGATTTCTGTTGAGTTGTTGATTCTTTCCTTGGGCTAGGTCCCTGCTGGGAGGGGGCTTCCTGTTGAGTGAGGGGCAGCCTTTTAATGGGAGATGATTGCTGTGGCACAGACTCCTGTGAGGCAAGCAATGCCTGCTGCAGAGTGGATTTTTGTTGGGTTCTAGGTTCCTGTTGGTGTTCGGCTTCATGTTGAGCCTGGGGTTCCTGCTGCGTGGAAGGTCTTTGCTGTGAAGCAGGCTCCTGTTGGGCAGTGGATTCCTGCTGAGTCTTCGTTCTTGGCTTGGCTATCTTGGGTATCTTTTCTGGTTTAGGCTCTGGCTGGGTCGTAGGTGTCTGTTCTTGTGCAGGTCTCCCATCTGTCCTAGGCACTGATTTAGAACCAGGTTCCACTGTTGTTATCTCCCTCATGGGAGGGGTTGATTTCCCAGGCTTCATGTTTCTGGGCCCCTTAGGTCTTTCTCTTCACAGATCTCTCATGATGGCACCTCCCTTTGTGTTCCAATCCTTCATCCTGGCATTCCTGGTCTTTCTTTCTAAGGCAGGTGGCTAATGGGCTGACACTGCTGGCCCCCCTCTTGTGCCAAGTGGTGCACCCTGTACCTCCTCCTTTTAAGGAGGCTGTGTGCCTAGTGCTGCTTAGCAGAGGGGAGGGGCTTGTCCTCTTGTGTCATAAATAGGGCCCCACCCCACTCATCACTCAGTTAAAATGTTTCTTCTCCTAAGGCAAGCATCCCAGTTTAGTTCTCTGTTTCATTTGGGATGACAGAAGCCAGATTCTGGTTGAGTGGTCCTTTGGCTCTCACCATTTGATCTTTTGAGAAATGGATCAGAGGAGGAGACAGTCTCTATTCTTGTTATAATGATTTTTTTCCTTTTTATTTATTCATACAAAAGGCCACCAGATTAATCTTCTCAGATGGTTGATCTGGTCATTCCACTCCCATACTATATAATAAATACGTACTAGAAGCATATTATATATATAATGAAGTGTGATATCCTTTCATTTTTACAGCCTGAAGCTCATTTGAATGGTGTTTGAGGTACCCTACACCATCTTTCTAGTCCTGAGTTATGTCCACATATATATCTCTTGTGTTAGATTGGAAATCCACAGAATACAATGACTGTTACTGATGATGCTGATGAGGTGATGATAGTAATTGTAAATACTGAAGGCAGCCCCTTATATGCTCAGGAACTGCCAGTTTCTTTTAAACCTGTATTATTTTTAATAAGACCAAAACTGTTTCATTGCTATACCTAGTTTCTTTGTCCCTAGCTCTTACCTAAGGAAAATTTGTTGAATGAGTGAAGGATAAAAAGTTAGTCAGTGGAGAGAAAGTGAGGATCATGGTGGCGAGGAATGTGCTTAGAACCTGGAGTGGGCTTGGCGTAAACAGGGTAAAGTGGGTCATCTGGATTGAACTGACGTGGCAGTCCCTATTTGAAAGAAATATTATTGACTTATTGCATTTAAAAATATTTATTGATCTCTGTTTGCTACTTTCCTGCCTATATTTAGAATTGAGATCAGCTAGGTAGCTGGGGTTTCTGGATCCTTCCAGGTGATCTTAAGCTTGGGTAAGGGGGGGGGGCGAAGGAAAAGACAACAGAAGACCCTATGGGAAGCAATAATCAATATGATGTTGGGAAAATGCCTTTTGAGAGCCCTGGAATGATTTAGGGGATAAGGACAGGGAGTGGAGAGAGTAAGGTCATCCTCCAGGCAGAGTCACTACCCTTTTGACTGAGAATGTTTCAGGAGGAGGGTGGACTCTTCGAGCTCTTACAAGGGCAGAGCAAAGCTTGCTAGTTGACATCGTTTGAGAAACTGCTGACAGGCTCTGGAGTGCTTGTTTGGCTGCCTGTGGGACTTTTGATGCCCTCCTGGGTAAAAAAAAAAAAAAAGAGAGAGAGAGAGAGGGGTGCTAATGTTAAAAACATTTTTAAATTAATTTTCTTTGAAGGGTAGACACACACACACACACAGAGAAAGAGATAGGGAGATAGAGATAGATAGATAGAGAGAGAGAGAGAGAGAGAGAGAGAGAGAGAGAAAGAAATCTCCTGTCCACCTTTTGACTCCCCAAATGCCTGCAATAGCTAGGGCAGGGCCAGGCCAAAGCCAGGAGCCAGAAACTCAATCTAGGTCTCCTACATGGGCAGCAGGAATCTAAGTAGTTGAGCCATCACTTGCTGCCTCCCAGGGTGCACATTAGCAGGAAGCTGGAATGGAGAACGGAGAAAGGACTTGAACCCAGGCACTCCAACATGGGATTTGGGTGTCCCAGGTAGCAGCTTAACCACTGTACCAAATGCCCACCCCCTTATGAACATGCTTAAAATTTAATTTTTATGAGCGCTCTTAAATTATAAGGGTAAGACTTGTCCAGTAGAAAAAAATATATAGTACAAAAGTAAAAATATTCTTCCCACCCCAACCTCTGTTGCCTGCTTCCTAGAACTAACCAGTGTTAATCATTTGCTACATCTTTTGTACCTTCTGCTATATAAACATGATGGTTTACTTTAAAAAACAGAAATGGGCCGGCGCCGCGGCTCACTAGGCTAATCCTCCGCCTAGCGGCGCCGGCACACCGGGTTCTAGTCCCGGTCGGGGCGCCGGATTCTGTCCCGGTTGCCCCTCTTCCAGGCCAGCTCTCTGCTGTGGCCAGGGAGTGCAGTGGAGGATGGCCCAGGTGCTTGGGCCCTGCACCCCATGGGAGACCAGGAAAAAGCACCTGGCTCCTGGCTCCTGCCATCGGATCAGCGTGGTGCGCCGGCCGCAGCGCGCCGGCCGTGGCGGCCATTGGAGGGTGAACCAACGGCAAAGGAAGACCTTTCTCTCTGTCTCTCTCACTGTCCACTCTGCCTGTCAAAAACAAACAAACAAACAAACCAGAAATGAGATTATATTATATTTAGTACTTTGCTCTTCACCCTTAACAATTTTTTTTTATTATTGCAAAATACACATCTATAGGAGTTAATAAAAACTTAGTTATGAAGGCACAACCATTATGAATGGGATTAATGACCTTATTAAAGAGGCTGAGGAGCTTGGTTTTGCCTTCTGCCATGTAAGCACCCAGCTGACAGGCAGCATCTATAAACCAGAGAGTGGGACCTTGCCAGACACCAGGCAATCCACCAGCACCTGGATCTCACACTTCTCAACCTCCAGAACCGTGGCAAATACATTTTTCTTGTTTGTAACCACTCTGCAGTGTTTCGTGGTAGCAGCTGAGTTGGACTAAGGCAGTGTATGAAATCATACTTTAGCTATCTTTTTCAGGAGGTTATTTTTAAGTTCATTTATGCAGTCTATTTAAAATGCAGAAAGAGGGGCTGGCATTGTGATGTAGCAGATAAAGCCATGGCCTGCGATGCCAGCGACCCATATGGACACTGGTTTGAGACTTGGCTGCTCCACTTCTGATCCAGCTCCCTGCTAATGAGCCTGAGAAAGCAGCAGAGAATGGCCCAAGTGCTTGGGCTCCTGCACCCAACGTGAAAGACCTGGAAGAAGTTCCAGGCTCCTGGCTTTGGCCTGGCACAACCCTGGCAGTTGCAGCCATTAGGGGAGTAAACCTGTGGATAGAATCTCTCTCTCTCTCTCTCTCTCTCTCTCTCTCTCTCTCTCTCTCTGTTTTTCCCTCCCTCTCTCTCTGTAACTCTGCCTTTCAAATGAATAAAAAACATTTTTTTTTTAAAAGAAGAAGCAGAAAGAGTTCTCTCATCTGCTGGTTCACTCTCCAAATGCCCATAGCAGCTCGGGTTGGTCCAGGCTGAGGCCAGGAGCTAGAATTCAGTCCAGGTCTCCCATATGGGTGCCAGGGATCCAAACCACTTGGGTCTTCATCTGCTGACTCCCAAGGTTCCCATAGCAGGAAGCTGGAACTGGGAGTGGAGCCAGGAGTCTGATGTGGGATACAGGTGTTCCAAGCGGTGCAGTTTCATTTGTGTTATTATGCATTTGTTTATTTCCACAGATAGATTACTCTAATATACCACAATTGGCAAGGGTACTTCAAAAATTAAATGGAAAATGTGTGTCATAGGAGCAGGTGTTGAGGCCCAGTGAGTCAGGCTACTGCTTGAGACGCCCACATCCCCTTTTGAAGTGCCTGAAATCAAGTCCCACCTCTACTTTTGATTCAACTTCCTGCTAATGCCTGGGAGGCAGCAGGTGATGGCTCAAGTCTTGGGAGAACTGGCCACCCAAGTGGGAGAACTGGATGGAGTTCTGGGCTCTTGGCTTGACCTGGCTCAGCCCTGGCTGTTGTGGACATATAGGTAATGAACTAGTGGATGGAAGAGCTCTCTTTCTCTGTCTCTGCCTTTTAAATAACTTTAAAAAATGTGCATTATGAGAAAACTGTGCATGAATTCCAAAATTTTTTCCCCAATATAAAGCTTTTTCTATAAACTTTTTGAAGTACCCTCATATTATTTATATTCTGCTGATGGACTTCTGGTCAGCTTCCCACTGGGTCAGTTATGAGCGGTACTTCTTTGGAAGTCTTTTTTTTTTAAGATTTATTTATTTATTAAA